TTTGAAAAGTATGTAAGTAGTTACGACCTCAGGAGGAAAATGACATTTAAGTTACCAAGACCTAAGACCGATGTGGTCAAGAAATCATGCTCATAAAAGTCAATTACTCGGTGGAACGCTCTGGAAAATCAAATGAGATCAATTCAAGACGTTGACGCTTTTAAAAACTCACTCAAGCATATTTTTAAGCCACGTATATTATAATGATGTGCTATGTAGAATTTTTATTGTTGTAAATATGTAGAAATCTTAATGAATAAAGGCTGATAGTTTCTAAAGAAACTGTTTGGGGTTGCGTCGGTGGGGGTAACGAAATAATTTGAAAATATCAACAAAGTTGAAATGGTAAATTGGCCACCGTTACGATTATAAAAGCTGACGTTTCGAGCGTTAGCCCTTCGTCGGAGCGAATGGAGAAATCTTACCTCAGTCTTCTTATAATTAGTTAGGGATTTAGTTTTTTTTTTTTAGTTAGGAATTTAGTTTTATTGTTTGCACACGACCACATCAGCTTTTGCTCAATTTTTCTATCGTGTTTAAGTAAATGCTGTTGTTGTTGATGTTGTTGTTTTTAAAATTACAGGAGAAGAGTTGAATAGGGGAGCTAACACCGACCCTCATGCGCGACTGGATATAGTTGCTGGGGGATTCTGGGAGAGGCAGAGGTCGGCTTTTTCGGATGTGAGAGTGTGCCATCCAAATGCAGACACCTCTAGAGATATGGATCCAGACCAGATATTCAGGCAGCACGAAACATTAATAATATTGTTTATTTTTTATATTGCGCAGTCTAACATCCAATAAAAGATATGATCGAATGAAACAGAGAAGAAGCGTCAGTACGCAAGCCGTGTGTTAGAAGTAGAGCAAGCTACTGTTGTCAATTTGAGTTGGAAGGCGTTATTTTGAGGCTTTTTCAGTTTAACTTTTTGTTTTATTAAGCCTTGCCTTTTGTGCCTACGTGTTATTTTGGTAGTTTTATAGTTTTGATCTTTTATTTTTAGTGTGTACTTGAACTTGGCTCAGCTCGCGGATTTCCTTCTTACCGTGTCAGACATTTTAATCGCTTGTTATGGTTAAGAATAATTAGTTTCATAAGTGGTGATGTTTGGGTTGGTAAAACTGACCTTGAGTTTTGCATACACCGAAGTTCCTGTTTGCGCGCGCGATTCCTGTGCGCAGCTCGATCGTTGGCGTTTAATTGGTTCCTTGGTGCTCGCCAAGTACTGCGGAGCGACCCACCCAATTTCCCCCGTTGCAAAATAACGGATACACTATGGAAACTCTTACAGTCAGCCAACCCAAACATGTCTACGGTTTTCCTATTTAAAGTGTTGGTACCTCTCGCTAGAGGAGAGAGAAAGAAAGCGTCGCTATGGTAGAAGTCAACTCTTTTGTAAGAGAATTAAAGAAAATTACAGATTCCTAGTACCTCTGGTTAGTTTTCCTAAGCGAGTCATACAACTCCTAACACTACATTCACGCCATTATTTTTAGCACGACAGGTGGAATGGCGGTGGAATGTGAACGATACCAAATTAGACTTGTTGCGCTAGTTGCTACGAAGAAGGGCGAAAGCTATGCGACTACCATGTCATGGATCAGGGCAAGAGTGTCCTTTGACCTGCTGAGATCGGCATTACTTTGCTTTTAAAGTGCACCTAAACCCAATTTTTTTTTCGCTTAACGAAATAAGCTTATTTCTTGGAGTATTTCTGTGCAAAAATTTTTTAATTTGCTTAAATCTTTAACTTTCTGCACCTAGTCAAAATACGGAAAATCGGCTGCCATCTTGTCCCACGACCGAGTTTAAAGAGAAATGGCTCTAGTAGATAATGTGACGTCAAATCGAGAACACGAAAGTCTGCATTTCACACATTTTCACTTGTTTGGGAAGGTTNTATTATTATTATTATTATTATCAATTAAAAAAATTATTTTTATCAGTATCATTTGTTGTTTTTATCCTCATTTAAGCCAATGAAAGGAGAATGAACCCGGATGTACCAAAGAATTATCTGTATGCAAACAACTATTTAAATAATAAATTACCTTTCGAAACGTCACATCTGCACAATTCGTTCCTGACCACCATTTTGTCATTTTGATTCTTCCCGTCATTCCCTCGGGGGGTGCTCCTTGGTACGCCATCCAATCAATGGTGGCGAAAGGATTGAAGTTGTTTCCATTCCTCCCAGATTGCATTGCGCAGACTGTAAAATTTTGATTGTTGACTTTTTCTGTCCAAAATGTGATAGCATGATGCACCGTGTCGGAGTCATTCAGGTTCATATGACTAAGGGTGATCTGCACTTGAACTTCTTTGTTTGGATAGAAGCGGTATGGTGGGAATACCACTCTTTTGCAGCTTGAGTCTGACCATTTGGGAACTCGAAAGAGCTTTACCCGACCATGAATGATTGGAAAGCCTGTAAAGATTGGAAACGCTCAAGTTTTAAAACAGTAGTAACCAATTTTTTCCTGTTATATCTCATGCAAGTTTCCAGAGGTTTCAATGTATTTGAAAATCCTAATTTTTGTGTCTGTCTTGTAAATGAAAGAGGAAGTTCCTACTCATAGTATTAAGGCCTTACCCTCACAGCTGCCCGGATGATACAAGGTATTATTGTCCAGTCCCTTGCAGAAGCTTAATTTGTACAGGCATTCATTGTCATATGTCGTTCCATTTTCCTGCAGACAGGGTCTTGATACGACAGGCAGTTGTCGTCACACACACAGCGAGCTTCATGGGCACTGTAGGTTTTGCAGACTCCGAATGATGGGCAAAACACATTTAGACAGGGATTGAGGTCTGTGAATGTGAGGCAAAATGATATTTATCTCAAAATTAAAGAAAGATACCAAAGTAACGATATAAAATGATTGCACTGATACATTCAAGTTGAACCCAAACCTCCAATAACGACGTAGCTAACAGACAGAGGGTCGTGTTTACTTCCAGTTCCACTCAAGTCTTTGACACAAATCCTCATGGATGTGAGGCTAACTTCCTACACAGAGACCAGAGAGCACAAGTTGAAATTAAACAACAGCAGAATGACAATCATCAAATCAGAGTGATAATGTACCTCAACCCAGGCTGATATGATGTTATTCTTGGGTGAGACAAGGCTTTTCATGCTGACTTGAGGGTTGTACAAATGATGCACAGACACAAGGACAACAGGTGAAGTATAAAATGTTGTGTTGAACTGCACCTCCTGCAAAAATTAAAGAGACAACAAATTTACAGGAGAGAAAATCTGTATGGTACTACGTAGCTCTGTTTTGAAAAGGAACCTTTTTTTACCTTGAAATAGCTCCCCAAACTTCACAGTAAACGAGACTAGATTATACTCACTTGACAAAAACCATAATTATGTTCAGCCGTTGGCGGGTTACTGTTTGGAAAATCTGCTTCTCCTGACAGCGTAAAATTAAATTCAGAGCCATTGCCAACAAATGCAAACCAGTCCTGGAATAAATGAAAGCAAAGCATGAGTTGCCGTCAAACAAAGTATAAGGTTATCAGACTAGAAAAAACAAAAAAACAAAAAAAAGAAAACAGTTCAGTTGGCTTACACGCTCACCCATAAAAACTATACTAGATGTATCTCTTACCACAATGGTGTCACGATGTTTTCCATCGAAGGGCAGGAACTCCCGGATGCACACCTCGAAACTTCTGGAATTTACATTTTTCAACCAAACATACATAGCGTCATTTGGCTTTGTGTCACGTGTATACCTAGCTGACACAAAGACAGATGGTCCTCCAAGAAAACTCTGCAAGGTTTTTGGATCATTTATGAATTTATGTCTATGGATGTAGATTCACCTTAGATACAATAAAAACCATTCAGCTAGACAACATATCATGGCCACAAGTTAAAGGTTTATATGTTGGATATCTTGTCTTTTATTGGCTGAGAGCGAAAAGCTCGAAATCTTTCCTAAATCTTCCTTTCTTTACATTGCAAGGTCTAGACTTTACAACCCACCACCGAAATTTCTGAGCATTGAGTGGCCTGTTTAAATGAGCATGGAAATGTGTTCCACATGAAGTAGGCGGGATTCACTTTGCAAGTTGGTCTAAAGTCTTTCTTATTAGGGTAGAACATGCTCAGA